TATATATATATGCCCTTTGTGGAGCTTGACAGCTGTGGTAGTCTTCTACACTCATGTATAAGACTCATGTATAAGAAAGAGATTTCTCTTTTTGTGTTCCACATAAAAAATAAGTTAACATGTTTTTAGAACAACACGATGGTGAGTAAATAAATGTAGATACATTTTTTTGTGTGAACTATCCCTTTAATTGCACAGTACACCTGAGGAGGGCGGGGCTTACCTGTAGACAGGCCACGCCTATTCCCACAGCACCAATAATGAGCAAGTGTTCTGCCAGAAACTGCTCCAGTTTAGTGATACAGCCGCCCTGTAAGAGACCACAGCACTGTTAACTACTTCAGTTGAATGTATATATCATGTTCTTTTCTTTTCAGTGTCAGTGCCCATTTGTGAATGTGTAAATTGATTTATTTTGCAGACTGATGAAGAGTTACAGCTATATGGGTGATTTTTTAATTGAGTGATTTACGTGACAGTATCGTGGATACTGCCTCAACATATCACATATAGAATAAAATTAATGGCCCATGAGGCCAGTAAAACCAGTGTCTTATTGTATTATGTATTACACCGGAGGACGGTTCCCAAAGAATACATACAGAGAGCTTGGCAGCCGTATACTGTAGTGTTACCTCACATTTTACAAGCTTATATATGTTACCAGTCACACCTGCTTTGCTCACAGCTGTGCTTTTTTAGTCTAAATGACTCCCAAGGGGCATATCAAACATGATGATATGGTTCACAGGCGTATTGTAGTTCCCACAGACAATGAGCAAGCATCTGAGCCTGTGGTGGCTTTGTCTGAAACCACCATACTACAACAGTACATTAACAAAGCCCGTTTAGTGTACTTGAATTTCTGTGTTTTGTAAAGCAAGTTAAGTACAGATGAATAAACACATGTTGCATAAATATTGTGTGTGGGGGTTGATTTGAGGTTAACAGTCTCTGACCCACCTCCACCTTGTAGATGTTTGAGGGGTGGTCTCTCTTTCCACACTGAGGGGTGATGGTCTTACAACAGCTGTCAGGGACCAATCTTTTCTCCGCTTCTGGGGACATGATGTACACGCTGTGTGCCCAGTCAAAGGAGTTGTTGCTCCCGCAGCACTTGAACTAAAAGATGAAGGTGAGGGAGTTATGGGATTAATTAGGATCAGCGTGCAAAGTGGTCTGGTATTGTATGGGGTGTTTCTGCACTATTTGTATTTCTGCATTATTTTGTGCGCAGTACTGATTTTACATGATGTTTAGAGGTAGTAAGTAGGTTGTGTAGTGCATTCAGTTTAAATTGTAAAACTGCTTAAAGTGCTGGTAGTCAGAAATAATAATAATAAAAAAAAAATAATAACAAAATAAAATGTATTTAAAATTTGTATTTTTAAAATAAAAAACATTAAATATAAAAATGAGATGAAATAAAAAATATGAAATCAAAATAAAATATTAAATAAAAACAAAATAAATATATTACATTTTATTTTTAAAATAAAAAATATGTAATAAAAATAGAAAATAGAAAAAATATAATGAAATAAAAAATATTAAATGAAAATAAAACATTAAATGAAAACAAAATAAAATAAAAATTTATTAAAATAAAATAAAATAAAAAAATGGGACTGAATTTTCCACTTTTAGCACTGATTAGAATCATTCATGTTCAATTACCATCTCACAAAAAAACTGTAATCCAATTTAAAAATCATTTGTCCTACCCACATACTCTTGTTTTTTGTCTCTAATCTAATTAAATCAAATGTTCAATACACTAATTCTGAAATTTGTGTGTACAGCAAAAACCAGAGGTGAAAAGGCCCAGGAACATTCTGGGATATGGCATTTCTCACATCCTGCTGTAGTCTGTCCACAGAATGTGTGATGCTCTCTTTTCCAGGTTGAGCATAGTTCTCTGTCATTGTCTTTCTCAAGTGCTGCTTCAGCTCTTCACTCAGCTGTGAGAGACAGAGAGATGAGAAAGACAGAGAGAAATGAACAAAAAGATAGAGAGTGAGCAGTATGCAGTGTCATCTGTCAAATGCCAGTCATCTATGGTTCTACAACTAGATCCATCATAAAAGCAATTTGGAGTTGGTTCTTTAGATCTTTTGTTTTGTAGCAATATTGTCTAAAAGTGTGTCTATAAGTTCACTCACTGCCTGGTAATAAACGTAGGCCAGAACACCAGCCACCAACTCAATTAGAAAGATCAGAAGCAGACAGGAGAAGTACTGTAGAAAAATGCACAAAACAATGACACAACATCCTTATCAGAAAACAGGAAATCCAGTCATTGCCACTCTAGATACTCTATACAAATTGTAAAATACTGTTTCCTGTTATACTAATTATTAGATATAAAGTCATGTCAAGGGGATGTTCCATAAAACTAAAAATGTAATAAATTATAAAATAAATTAATATAAAAATTGAACTGCTAAAAAGGGCAAATAAACAAACAAACATGCAAACAAACAAACAGAAATCTATTTAAGTATCAAAACAATACAATACAAAACAATATAATTACATTTTAGCCATTTTAGATTAAATTAAATTAATTTAATTAACTATTGAACTAAATGCTAAAATGTCACCTATAAACAATACACTTTCACAATCACAGTAACTAAAAATCTTTTGTTCAGAAAATGTTCAATTTGTAATTAATTAGTTTCATTTGCCTTTGTCTTTATGAAGCATCATTTTAAATGGATTTCCTCTAAAAGAAACTATCTTACAACAAGGTTGTTTATTCACACATCAACAATCAACATTCAAAATGCTTCAAAATGTAACCATATTTTCCCTGTCATAGGGATAAAGTAAATAAAATTGGTTTCTAAGAAATTTCTTGCTCAGAGCTGGCAGAGGTGGAGATGCCTGACAGATGAAAATAGAAGACACAGTGACCTTTTCCTCAGAGGAAAATAAAACAATAAATGACTAAACTGAATAAGCCGTCCTAGTTTAATGTGGGTAGGGCTGCAAAAAGGTGGAACATTTCCAGTACATTTCAGAAATATTTCAGAAATTTTGGAAACTTTCCAGGATTTTTTGGAACATTCCAGGGATTTTTGGAAAGTTTCCAGAAATTTACTGGAAATGTTCCACCTCTTTGCAACCCTAATTGTGGGGGAGAGAGAGTGGGTGATAACAACCCCGAATCTGCCTTTGAAAACGTTTTCAGGGAAATATTTCTTGTGGCATAACTGAAAACAAACCACCCAACAAACAGAACAATATTTCAAGATTATACATAACTCAAACTCACCATGTCTTTCTATGAACACACCAATTTCTATTTTAATTGTAAAGGGAGTACTGAAGCTGAACTGAAAAGTCAGTTTCTATCACTAATCAGCAGAATAAAATATAACCAAATAACAGAAATATGCGTATCAAATTATGCACAGACTGTAGACCGAACCACAGAATCAAGAGATGCCACAAAACAGGAAACAAACTGTCTGTCAAAGTGGATGTGTGTGAGAGAAGAATAAATTAGAGCAAACAAACACAAACATACTGTACACACACATCCATACATGCCGCAATTCTCATTTAGAGGTCGAAAGAAAGGACAGGAAGTCCGATGTAATTTATATAAACACCAACACGAGCACTGAAGCAAATTAAATGAACTGATTCAAGTTTATTCAAACAAAACAGTGCACCGAACAGCTGTTAACCTCACGGCAGCTGTCGCGTGTGGACATTCATGCATATATATGTTTTTCCCAGAATGCAGTGCACTCAGATCAGACCGGCAAAGGCAGTGTCCTCATTACTAATTTCTAGCGTGGTGGCTCTCCTCAGTAGATTCATACATCTGAGTGAGAGTGGGCTATAAATAGCACTGCTGCAGTGGCAGTCACAACCTTGTTGTCTCTTTCTCTCTTTTGAACAAACACAAGGTACTACCTTTTCAAAAAAATTGCGAGAAAGCAGATGCCTGTCAGCTCATTTGTCACGACTGCCATGGAACCAATTCTGCTTTGTCTATGGACACTCAGTGCCGCCCCCCTGACTAACAAGCGACAATAACTGAGGACTGAGAAGACGCCGGGATCTAAAGCAATTAGTGGTTGGACAATGGATAAATTGGCGCAACTGATAACATGTTGTCCTCTCATTCATCTCCATCCCCTCACCGTGGACAGACAGCTCTTCTGCTCACGTATGACAGCGCAGCAGCCCAAGAACCCCGTGACCATCACCAGCCCTCCTGCCAGGATCAGGATGTAGGCAGACACGGCGAATGTACTGGAGGCCAGCAGGCTCAGGTACTCTCCTTTATCGACCAGTGTCCAGATCCCGACACCCATCACCACCCCACCGCCCATCTGAAAGAGAAAAATACATCTCAACATATCAGAATGCTTCTTCTAATACACAAGTTTAAAGGGGTCAAATAAAATGAAATCAAACTCAAAATGTCCTTCTTAGTCCAAAAATACTATTTATTGTATGTAACCCACAAAAATGGCTTGTTCCGAACATCCAGAACTTTATGATGAATATGAATACACATAACAGCACACATTTTGAACCTCTTACAACAAAATGTTTGCTTATTGAAGAATGGGGCAGCACAAAAAATAGCCTGTAATTCTAAGGGTCAGGAAGAGAGTGGAAAAATTATTTTATGAAATTTAATTTCAATTTAA